AGAGAGGCCCTGAAGCTCTTCACACGCAGTCATCATCATTTTTGTTACTCCACTATATATCCGCAAAAATTTCAGCCACTAAGAATTCACTTGACATAACCACTGCAAATATCAGCTTCAACATCATACTGGAAGTCATACTACCCGGTCTGTCTGTAGTGGAGACAACGCTATGTGATACCAAGAAAAGCGCACTTCTCTCTTCAACCTTGTCGCTGGTTTCCCATTTTTATAAGCATTGTATATCTGCTTTCAAATTTTTATAGCTGGATGAAAGAAAAATAATGAACAGTCTCAAGATCCATCCACTCCTCCAAAAATATGGAAAACATATGAGAATCAACACAAGAATATGGCTTGCATGATTTATTAACAAGTTAACTGAACCTGGTTAGGTTGTGGATAAACTTATTTGGTGCATATGTTCTCTTTTATTTCTTCAGTCAAACCCCAGGACTAACATGGGTATCTTACTACGGCTAATACTCTAAAATATTGGAGCCTGATTCATAGCACACTGAAGTCAAAGAAGAGATTCTCATCAAATTCAGTTAGCATGGGGTCAGAACTGCTTAGAAGAGGCAGACTAAGAACAGCACAGATAAAATTCCTGTTGAATACTTCAAAAAAGTACCTATAGCTGTTAACTACTATTATAATGGAATTGTTCCATCAAGCTACTTGCGTTGTGTTGAGTTTTCTAAGAACATATGTATTTTGCTCTTCTGTAGCATGTTTCAAGGAAAATTCAAAGCATTTTAACTACTTAAGCTGACTTTGCAAAGAGAAAAACTACAGATGTGTGGTGCAAACAGTAAAGTCACAAAGGCACAAAGGAAGAAAGACACCACCACAGAATTCATATCCTCAGAAAATTCCCTGAGCATCCTAAGTACTAGAGCTTGTATGTTCTGCCCTAAGGAGCTGCACTAGTATTTATGGACTGTTGCTCCACACAACATTTGGATAACCTGGGCAACTGCCCAAAGAAGGATTTGAAATGGAGCCTAGGTTACTGTGAGAAAGCTTATATTATATTGTCAGGTAAGAGTCTGGATCCTGAAGACAAATACTCAAAAATTCTGACATGTGCTTGTACACAACCTGATGACAAATATATGATTAGTTGGATAATTTATGGTACTTTGACTGCATTGTGCAAAGCTACCAACTTTTTAAATGAGCTCTGCATTTTCCTTCCAGCAAGATTTCCAAGTACAAGGCATAGTGTACCAGCAAAGGAACTAGTCTTATAAGGTAGGGGACAGTAACCCTCCCGAACATAGTAGCTCTGAGACAAGTCAAGGAAGATTCCATCCCTTCCATGCGATGGCTGTTCAATAGCCTGTATTTAATGAAAACAATGGACATCACAGTCCAGAGACCACTTATCTGGTGGTCTCTGGATTATTTTATCATGGTTTATTATCATAAACCATCTTTTAAGGCAGAGAATAACAGGCTTAACAGTCAAGAGCTACAGGCAAGTGGGGAGGAAAATTTACCTATATCTAGACTAACAATGCAGCTAGGGAATTAAGTCTCTGGAGCAACAAATCAGACATCTTTCAACATCTTTTAAATTTGCTTTAACTACTTCCTTACCAGAAGAAAAAAATGCAGCTAGATGGTAGACTCAATCCAAAGTGGGTATAATGAAGCTTTAGAAAGAAAACAAGTAAGATTTGGGCCTTAGTACTCTGCTTGCTTCCCCACTAAACCACATGTAAGAACATCACCAAGTATAAAAGATGTTGGAACACCAGTGCATTCTGTTCACCTTATCATCTCTCCTGTCTCAGTCTCTTTCATTAAATTTATATGTAGTTTGGTTTTAGCATAGTGAGCCTTCCAGTGTTATAAACCAAATAAAAGAATCCCACATACAGAATCCACTCTGCCTATCCTGCCTCAATGGCTGCACTACCATTTTGGCACCAAGTCAAATTCAGCCACTGACTTTAACAATTTCAAGCCTTTTACGACTCACACAGACCAGCTACATACTGACTTCCAGGCTACAGGATTCTCAGCTTCTGCACATAATTGTATGGATAATAAGGGATCATTTTGTGTCCCAAACTAAGCAGCTCAGAAAAATTTAGACATATTTATCTAAACCAACAACACTACTGCCAATTAATGTTAAGGAATTCCAATTTCTCTCACACTGCTGGGATTTATGGTTAAATGGAATACCAGAGGACTGGGTTGCTGGCTGGCTGAACCAAGAAGACTCATGAAATATACCGCCAAAGTATTCAGCATCAAAGAAATACTGATAGCCAAGAAAAATCAGAAATCAGTTATTCTTTTCACAGGTTATACCATCATCTTGCCCTTCCCTTTCTTTTACTATAAGGAATAGTAAGAGAGAGATGGGATCTTTTATTCTCTTTATTTTTTAGTAAAGACATTGCTAAAGGCCTAAGGAACATGATTTCTAAACAAAACCAAATATTTTAACATCTCTGGTAGAAATGTTTATTGCCTTTAGAATATAATACTATCTATGTAAATGATTTCATTTGAGCTGCAACACTCCCCCCTCCCCACAATGCCTAAGGTGATATATTAATTCATGAGAATGAGAAAATGAAACTAAGAAAAACAGATAATAAGCCAAAAGATATCTGACACTCCCTTTTCAGCATCTAAACTAACTAGATTTGTAATAGCAAACACGAGAGGACCCAAACATAAACATATTAAGCAAGGCAGTGCTACTACTCCTAGCCTTATGTTGAATGCTTGACAATAAATAAACAAACATCATCAGTGGCAGAAAGTAAATATTTTTCTAAATTCTCTAAACGTTTAGTGTGCAATGGTGACAACTGTTTCCACACATTGATAGCAGTGTCAAAACTGCAATGGTTGTGTAAGAGGAGTGGCATTTACATTCTGGTAAACTAATAAAGATATTTTCATTGTTTTGCTTTATTCCAAAATTGTCCCCTTAAGAATTCATCCACTGTGCTATATATTCTTCAGTTACACCCCCTTGTTCCAGCCAAAGCTGCAAGATTCTCTCAAATCCCATCTAAGCCCACAGAATTTGAGAGCACCAAACACTGCTCAGCTCGAGTTCTGGATGGGGCATGTGCAACCAGTGCAAGACACATACTAGATGGTGAAGATGGGGATATCTGTCATCAGCAGGCACCGATAGCCTCGGACAGACAGGACCACCTTCTGTCTCCACACAAGCACACAATGTGGGGAAGGAGGAAAGTTAAAATACAAGCAGGGCTGCTCCTGGTGTGTGCGTGGAGGGGGTAAATATTAGCGTGGCTCCCCTTCAGCTGAACTTGAGCATTACCTCACACACCTGAAGCAAGGCAGACCACCAGAGCTGCCCTTTAAACAAAGTCTGCCACTAATGAAGTCCTGACAGGCCAGGAGCCACAAGGAGTGCAACTGATTTGCTATTGCCTGAGAATCCTGCATTTTTGCATACAACGTGACAGAATCCGGCAGGGAGCAGTAATTGACCATTTTCACCCACAGTGGCTTCAGACCACCTCCCTCCTCAGAGGAGCTGACACAAAATAGTCTCTCTGGTGAAAAGTTGGCTTTGCAGCCTGGGTATTCTGCCTCATCTCAAATTCTTCCTGAATGCATGAGCATTAACTCCACTATGTTCTTTACAGACAATGCCTGAAAAACTCTCCACCTTGGACATAGGTGAGAGTTACCATTTCCGTTTTTCACGATGGAGGCAGTGACAGAGCGACTTTCTTAATGTCCTTAATTTTAAAACCCAGGGGGTGCTCTGGCTACATTTATGAGGCCCATTAAAAAGCAAGACTTTTCCATTTCCAAACATCAAGCCTTCTTTTGAGGTAAAGCAACACTAAACAAATGTTTAAAAAAAGGGTGCAATGGGAGGATACTATAACCAAACTCAAGAGAACTTGAATGTTTCTCAGACAACCACATTTGCCGATTAACCGGATTTCTTTCTCAGAAAGCTATAGTCAACTGCCTCGTAGACTGCCCAAGTGCTTATGGATCAGTCGCAGGTTGTTTCAGGTTCCCTCATTCTGAAAGCATTCAATCGAAGCATGAGGAATGGACCGTAACGCCCACACCTCAAACTACTACTGGTGAAAGCATGTGGCCGATACAAAACTGCCCAGCAAGCCTACTGTGAGTTTGGTAACCTGGCCTTTCACAACCTAGGAGGAGACTTGTGCTGCTTATGAGAGTATGAATTTTACGTAACTTATTTCTATTTCAGTTTAGTTCAACAATGTTCCCTACAAACTCAGCCTCCTCAGTCCAAAATAAAAGGATCAACACAGAAGTTCACAGTGATTTAGTCAAATCCAGATAGATTTGAATGATTGCACATAGAAGTGTGTCGGTGGCAGACTTTGCTCTATTTTCTTCCCTGTTGCTGAAACAGCCAGACCTTTCATCTCCCGCCGGCTGCAGGAGGGCCCTCTGTGGCCACCTAAAGGACTTACAAAATTCCATTGGTATCACATACACAGGAGCCTGTCCGAGGTACTGGTGAGATGAGAGAGCTGCCAGGAGGTCACTCAGTTTGAGGTAGGTAGAGTTTGCAGTGAAATACAAGTTACCTTGGATCACAAGCAAGCCAGCGCAAGTGACCAGAAACCTACGCTACGTAACTATATCATACTTCTATGTTTCCCTCTGGCTCCCCCATTCATTTCAGGTCCCAGTTTAAAAATATCTTAAGTTTTTAGTATGTTTCTCGGTAAGCCAGCAAAGCTACGTGTCTCTTTCACCCTCCACACTCAGTTTTTGACAATGCTTATACTACGTCTATCATTGCTTTGCCCTTTTACGCTGTTGGTTCAAGTATCCTTCTCCCTCGCAGTTGTGAGGCAGAAATATTTTGTCTAACCGGTACTCCACCTCATTTCAAAACCCATCTGACACATAAATCACCTCCTTTCTCTCTGGCTGTGCTTCCCCTCCATTCAAGTGCTTTACTGAGTTTCACATACAGACCCTGAAGCGAAAACATGCCTGCTGTCCAGGGGCCTGGCCTGAACAGCTCTTCCAATGGGAACCGCGTTTGGCTGTGCGGTGCCAGCACAGGCTCCCGCACCGGGCACGATGCCAAACTACAGAACCAGTTCCCCCGAGATGCGAAGCTCCACCGGTGCCACCGGGCACAGGGGGTGAGAGCAACGCCGAGGCGCACGGAGCCGCTAAGCGGGGCGTCCTGGCCCTCCCCAGCGGCGCCTCTCCCCCAGGAGTGACGAAGCACGGCGGTTCCGCCCGGACAGCGGCCCCCGCCGCCCCCCCCGCCCCAGCCCGGCCGGGGGCAGGCCCCGGCGCACCGGAGG